GCTACGTATGCTGTGTTTTTGGCAAATTGTAGTCGCTGAGTTTACTATTTTATACTACTTCTGTGATATTACTACTACTTCTACTTCCTGTTATCTTCTTCTTCGTCTTTTTCACCAGTAGAAACAGCCGGTTGTTGATCACGTGACTCCCGTGATGTGAAAAAAGTGTTTCCATTACAGTTTTGCAAAAAACACCAATTTCAATACAGCTGAAATACCACCTCATCCTAGCGCAAAAACATTTAGTCAAAAAACGTAATTTTTTTCGAAATTGACGTGTTTCCATTGAGCAAATTTATTTTCTAAATTCCAATTTGCGCATTTTCATGGTCAGTGGAAACACAGCTACAGACTCATTTATATGCAGCTTCAAACACCAACTGACTTGTAGTTTGTGTGTGTCCTGCTTCTGTGCACCTGCATCAGTACCTGGTTTGAGACCTGCTGTCAGTTTGACGTCTTTTGCCACAGTGTCCTCGTGTGATTGGACAGTGAGTCTGATGCAGTACATCTCACTGATGAGTGCAGGAGGCAGGTGGCTCAGCTGCACACAGATCTTTGGGACTCTGGAGATGATCCTGCAGGTGCAAAAACAAAGAGTGAAGGCTCTGCTGCTGTTTCTGTTGCAGAGTGTAATAACTGAGGATGATGATGACGTTACATGGTGCTGTGCTGCAGAGTCAGACTGTCCCAGTCGAGCTCCTGCCTCGCCTCCAGGCCACGCCCCCATCGCCGTGATGATCGACTGGCTTGCAGTGCTTCTTGAGCCGAGGCTGCATCTCCCCCGGCACCTCTCCAGCTCAGAAACACACAGCGGCCGCTGTCGCTGCCCAGCATCACCTCAATGCCTGTCATCTGAAGGAAGACACAGAGTCACCTGCAGTTCCCTCTTCAGAGTGTGTCAAACTCAGACTCACCAGCTTACCTCAACCTTCTTACCAACGTCTTCAGTCTTAGCTACAAAGCTGAAGTGGTAGCACCTAGTTTTTCCTGGTAACAGAGTCAAACTCTGTCCAGATGATTCCATATCACACCACTGGTTGTACTCCTGAACACAAAAACACACACTAAATAAACTCTGTGGATCGATGTGTGGGTCTTTATGAGTAATCAGGCACTGACACATTAATAATATCCCATCAGTTGTGCAACAATTCATGCAATCTGAAACTACACTTGGACACAAGCAGCACCATCCTGAAGGAGCTGCAGATGTTCGGTCATGAACAGTGGTGGGCAGCGCTAATCCAAAAATTAGCTCTGCAAATTCTAAAGAGCTTAAGAAAATATATAGGTCCGCAACTTCAAAAAAACTTATGCCATAGAAAAAGTAGCGGAAGCTAATTTTAAAGCGCAAGTTCAATTTGATACTTATTGGCTGGCAGTAATTCATGTACAATATATGTACAACAATGCCAACTAGTGGTGTATGAATCCTTTTACAGCTTAATTCTACAACTGCCATTGCTGGGGATGTGATTTCCTGAAACACAACTTTGGCTCCTGGTGTAAAAAATTAAAAAGTTGTTCATAATTGCTAGTTCGGCTGCTTCTTTAAAAAGTTGTTGAGGATTGCTAGTTCGGCTGCTTCTTTAAAAAGTTGTTGAGGATTGCTAGTTCAGCTGATTCTTTAAAAAGTTGTTGAGGATTGCTAGTTCAGCTCATTCTTTAAAAAGTTGTTGAGGATTGCTAGTTCGGCTGATTCTTTAAAAAGTTGTTGAGGATTGCTAGTTCAGCTGCTTCTTTAAAAAAAGTTGTTGAGGATTGCTAGCTCGACTGATTCTTTGAAATGTTGTTGAGGATTGTTAGTTCGGCTGATTCTTTAAAAAGTTGTTGAGGATTGCTAGTTCGGCTGATTCTTTAAAAAGTTGTTGAGGATTGCTAGTTTGGCTGATTTTTTAAAAAGTTGTTGAGGATTGCTATTTCGGCTGATTCTTTAAAAAGTTGTTGAGGATTGCTGGTTCAGCTGCTTCTTTGTTTTTTTCTTTTGTTTGTTCTAGATTTTTCATGAAAGAAGCATCAATAAAGTAGTTTTAAATCAGTTTATTGGAAAACTGAAGCGATGCATTCTGGGTACATAATGGATTTGATTTGTGATGGGAAACGAAAGCACGGAGAAGAGGAAACTATCTTCCCTTCAAAATAAGAGCTTGGATTTTAAAGTTTTCCATGTCGTTGCTCCAGTTGACCACTAGATGTCAGTCTTCCTCAGCATTACATCTTTAAATCATTTCTGAGTCTCTAACCCCGTTGCTTCGACCAATTACGTAGAGTATTGAGTTCGAGCGTTAAAACTTTATTTTTTTTTAAAAGGAGCTCCGATTGTAAAGTAAAATAAATCAACACATACAAAATTTTAGTATGGATTACAAACGTTAACTGATTTTGATATTGCCTTCCTGCTACGTAAGCAGACACAAAGCATTGTGGGAAATCAGAACCGTGACCCAAAGCAACAGTTAGCAAGGATGTATACCTTCTCAATAAGTGTGTTTATCTAGGAGGGGTGCTGTTGGATAGATCACATGTGTCGTGATTCATTGACAGCCATACCTTCCACTGTTCAAGATAATGAAGACTGGAAGATAATTACGGTAGTTATTAGCGGTACTACATTTTAATTTTAGAAAACGCAAATCCTCTTATGAAATATAAAAATTAGTAAGACCGCTAAAGCGCAAACGAAATATTTAGGTCCGCTATTAGCAGATTTGCACTTTAGCGGGCTGGTGCCCACCACTGGTCATGAAGAACGAACACAAAGTCCAGATTACATTGAGGCCTTTTGTTAGAATTATTCAATTTAATCTGAATACAAATCAAACTAAATTCCAGGTTGTAAGACAACAAAACAGAAAGAATACAGGTAAGAGTGACCACAGCAATACTCTATTTATGTGGCGAGTACCTGGTTACTGAGGCTGACAGTCAGCTTGCTGAAAGACACAGGATGAGGACAGTCTGCTCGAAGGAAGACCTGGAGCTGGATGGGCTGGTCCACATGAAAACTGGGAGACTGGAACCTGGCCTTGCACTGGACTAAGATCACAAACACAAGATGAAATTGTAACATTGGGCCTCATGCAAGAACATGTTCGTATTCTTATCCTAAATTTCTCTTACTTTTGTTCGTACAAAGGTATCGAAATCAATCATTTTGTACAAACATGTCACGTCAGATTCAACAAACTCTTCTATCTTCAGGAAAAGTGTGTAAATGAGCTGCGTAAACTGATGAATGTGTATCAGGTGCTGGAGGAGAGGTGAGTAGTATAATTAACACCCCAAAAAACACCATATAAGGCTACGTTTCCTGCCCCACATACCAGGAAGTGTCCATTCATACAGGACATCACAAATAAAAAAGAAGAACTTTACGAGTTCAGAGATTGAAGTCCGTCTGTCAGAGATCCAGAAAAGAAAATCTGTCATTTTTAGCAGGTCAGCTGTGGAATTAAAGGAGCTGCTTAAAGAAATGAAATGTGCTGTTAATGTCGTGTCTCCTGTCACAGAAATAAAAATCTAAATCATATTCATCTCTCTGTAGTCCTATTCTGGTTTTCTGTTGGTCAAATATTTTTAATTTAAGGTAAACAACTGTGTTACATAGTTTTAATTTATTCAGCAGAAGAGCAGTCGCGCACCGCTACCCCACCCCGCTGCAAGTGGTGTCTGATGCGGTTCGGGAAAAAAGCATTTTAAAATGTCATGAAACATCTATAAAGCTTGTTATATACCGAGACAAATTAAACTTCAATTATTAAATTGAGATCTTCATATTAATACTGTAGTGTTATACAACAGCATTAATAACCAATTTATTTTAACCAATTTGTCGTTACTCTACATTATTACATTTAAAATTATAATTCTAATTCAAACAGAATAGCTTATTGTCAACATAATTATGGAGTGTAATTTATTTTCAACTTTAAATATCTTCAAACTAATGAAATATAAAGTTATTAATGAAGAAAACCCGTCTGGATAACAGCAGACTGACTTCAAGTAAAATATACGACAGGTCTGGACCACTTGTGAATTTTGTTCATATCTGAAAAAAATCTCGGAATACAAGAAAATTGGTGAATGCCACAACCTTTCCTAAATCACTTGTACGCACAACTTAAGAACAAATCTGTTCGTACGAACGGTTCTCACACGAGGCACATTGTTTGAGTGGCTCCTCTTTTTTCTGTATATACAGTAGTTTCTAAGGAGTCAGACATTCTTATATACCATCGTTATTAAAATGTTTTCTATTGACAACCGGGAAGAAATCAAAATACAAAAAAAAACATCAAAGTTGAATGGGAAAAAGAAGCTAAAATAATAACAGATGAAAATTGGTTAAATATATGTAAAGCTGTGGCCATTACTTCAAGTTCAGGTTTATGGAGAGAATATGCCTGGAAGAACATGGTGCGGTTTTTTTGTTACTCCTAATAACAAGAGTAAACAATGTAATGACCCTGAAAAGGCTAAATGTTGGAGGAACTGTGGGAATGTGTCAGCAGGGCATTTTCATATTTTCTGGGAATGTACCAAGATCGCACCCTACTGGTCAGAGGAGATGAAGGAAATCAACACCATAATGGATCTAAACATAAATTGTGATTTCACTGTGGTTTATCTATGTAATCTACCACAAAAACTGAAGAAACAGGAGAGATACCTTCTTTTAATACTACTAACAGGTGCAAAGAAAGCCATAACTCGGAAGTGGCTGGATACAGACCCACCATCAACCTTGGACTGGAAGGAGATAATCAAAGAAATATATGTAATGGAAAGATTGACTTTTTCACTGAGACTTGCTGCAGAGAAATGTGAAAAGTATTGGAAGAAATGGAATAACTACATAAATGGGATGTCGACTGTTTAATCATTGTAATTACCCTCCCTTTTTCTGAACGTTTAAACCCAACTTTTATATTTAATAAGCCTGTATGTATTGATGTTTTGAATAACTGTTAATGATGGTCTGTGAGTTCTAACATTTGCACTTTCAAAACTGAAAAACAATAAAAATAAGGTTTAAAAAAATGTTTTCTATCAAGATATCAATACTGACTTTTTGTCCAGAACTAAAAGGAATAATGAAAATGTTTATGTGTGAGTTCTTTAATGAGGAGTTACTAACTGAAGGGAATGTAGTCCTGCACTTCAATGGTCAGCTCATTGGATCCAGACAAAGCCATGCGGTCGGTCCACAGAGACCTGGCAGCACTGACAGTAGATGAGTCACACTCGGGCTCAGCATCAGGAACCTCATTCTGTACAAATGACCCAACATAAAGAGTACAGCTGATGTCCAACAACTCTCATGTTCATGATATGGACCTGAGGACGGCGCTGCTACCAACCATTAGTACTTTGAAGAGATTCTTCTCGATCCTGGACCTCTGCTCCTCTTTCAGGGTGGAAGCTGGAGGACAAGTAAAAGATCCTGTTGAGCTTTGTGTTAAAGTCAACACGTCTGCAGACGGTGGTCCGGTTTTACCTCGGCCTAGCAGCTCCATACTGTAGATGACGTAGTCCTTGACACTGGCCATCAGATAGGCACAGCGCAGGGCCGTGCTCAAGATGGCCGTCAGCAGAGCCCACCAGCGCTCTGTGCGATAGTCACACATCACGTAGTCCAGGAGCCTGATCACACAAACACATCACCTCAGATTCAACACTCAGCTTTGGTTTTACAGGTAATCAGGCGCAGCTTGGCACTGACTTTAGGGCTTTGGTGTAGTCTTTAGCATGGTAGTATTCCTCTCCCATCTGCACCACTGTGATGGAAACACAACAACAGGGTCACACTTAACATGTAACTCTTAATCCAAAACTGACAGAGGTCACATCAGACTAAAGGACAGAAACACACACACTGACACCTACTTAGGTGGCTTTTCATCCGAGGACACTTGTACTTCTTAAACTGAGCAACAGCATTACTAAGAAGGGCTATAATCAGCTCCTGTGAGGGCAAAAACAGAAAAAGGAGAAAGTTTTATTTCTTGGCAATCACTCCATCCTTTCAGACATCCAGTTTCTCTGCCTTGGTTTGTGGGATGAAACAGGAGCTGTAGGAAACCCACAACTCAAGTATTACCACAACTGAAGCCCATCCTCACTTCCCTTTACAAAACTATTCTTAAAACCATAGCTGAAGATATGGTTAGCATAGCAAATTACTCTTTACAGTTTGATATCTTCCCTGCTGAGCTTCAAACCATCTCTACAGGAAAAGAAAAGATATATTAATGCCCAGTAACTACCAGCCAATTTCTAATTCTTCAGATTTAAATTTACACTCTAAATTAGAAAAGTCCATCACAGCACAGACTATCCTTATTTTATTTATTTTACTGTTATTTATCCAGGCAAGTCCCATTGAGATCACAGATCTCAATTACATCAACCCACAATTACGTCAGATGCATGGCTGCAGTAAACAGTAAGTAAAAATGACAAACACATCTGAAGTTAATGGAGAGAAGTTATCAGGAACACGTTGCTACTATCAGGAAAGTTGTAATTATTCTGTCATATCAACTAGTTCTGCTGATGTTACTGCTGTCTGGAGATGTAGAGAGAAATGTGATTCTCTTCACGTTACGGGAATAACTGAGAATACGCTGACAGCGGGAGGAGGGTCCAGCTGCAGTCACTCTGGTATCGGTACTCTTCAGACAGTGAGAACAGCTGATCAACCATATGAGAAAAATGTGTTTCCATCTCTCCTTTTGCACATTAACTCTTTTTTGAAAAAAACCAAAAACCACTTCAAGTGAGCGTATCAACTTTTATGCAAATGAGAGGAAGTTTTTTCGAATCATGCCGCTTCCATTCACCTTTTCTGATGCAATACTTCAAAATGCGCATTAAAAAACCTTGATGGAAGCACGGCTTTGGTACAACTTGACTTCAGGACCCTTTTATGACAAGTATTTATGTATGATGACTGTGGGTGGTGTCATCAGGAGACGCAGCATCTCTTGTTATGCTGATGACACTCAGCTCTATGCTGCTGTCTCTCCTGGTGACACTGGACCTACTGACTGATCATGAATGCTGCAAAACTTCCTGCAGCTTAACCCAGATGAAACCGAGGTGCTCATCATCAGTTCAGAGGCTCAGAGAGGAGAGTGGAATGGATTGAATCATCAGGCTGTAACAACACTACACAGTTTCTGTATATCATGTTTTCAATGAACTGGGACAGAGATGTGTTTTCTTACAGAATGAGGAACATCTCTCTCTTTAATCTGCAGGGCCAGAATCCCCATCTTCTCCTTCTCTGCATCAGGTGGATCAATACCTGAAGATAAAACATATCAGTACACGAGGTAATCTCTGCTTCTACACAACACTTTGGTTCTCACGTCTTCATAAATCAGATAAGTTGAGCCGTTTTGTTCTGTCATGTCGTTTATGTGTGTGATCTTACTCTGCTGTCCTTGTCTCCAGGGTCTCTGGCCATAGTAGTCCAGTCCTCCACTCTGGGGGTCCAGAGGGTCTGCAGAGGGATAACTCACTCCAGCCTAGAGAAATTAAAAACAGAGGGGAGATGTTTCTGATGAAACTTTGATATTAAATCAGTCGGGCCTCTATGAATACTTGAAGGTTAACTTCAGTATTTAATACATAAAAAAGTTTATATGTGTTTTTCTCAGCTTCAAAGTTAAATATCACCATATAAACTCAGCATTTAATCTGTTCAGTTTTAAATAAATGCTCGACAGACTCTTCCTGTCAGCATGTAGCTGCAGGAGGAAGCTGTTTGAGCTGACGCCACACAAATGGTTTCAAGTGTTGGAGGCATCTGCAGCGTTAAGTTCACCACAGAGCACCGTGCTGACTGAACATGTTAGAGGTCTAATGTTTTCATGAAGCAGCAGCTCAACACACACCTCAACTCTGGTCTTTTATTTGAAACGTTGACTTAGTCAATAGATTATTAAATAAGAAATCCATCCATCTATCCAACAATCCATCCATCTGAAGGAATTTATTAGTCAAGAGTGCATTGCCAATGCAATGCACACTATTGTGATTCGTTTCTCTTCCAAGTCATCTCAACTTTGGAATGCTTCTCCTCCTGCATACTTTGTCCTAGAGCTGCAATTATAATTTATATCTGTAAAGCTCCTTGCCAAATGACGACTATGCCTTTTGGTGCCTGTACAACTTATAGTTTTTGAATTATTGATGTTTAATACATTATAATGGGAGTTAATACAGCCTTGTATTGGTCCAATACTGCCCCTGCTGTGTCTACTCAGTACTGAACCATAGTTTAATAATATTCAATCTCAATAGTTCAGCGTTTACAATACTAATATGATTGTATTTTCATGTTTTACTATAATATTGTCCTAACATTGCTTTATTGTTGTAATAAATTTCAAATTAGTGACAACCATTACATTGGCAATGTGGCCTCTTTCTGCACACATACAAACCAACCCCCAGCAGGGTTCTCTACCACACCTCCAATGATCTCATGGTTAGTACCATGGCCTTTCATCTGAGAGATCAGGGTTTGAAACCCAGCTACAGCAACTTTCACAGAAAATCTCTACTAAATTAATATTGTCATACAATTACCCTTATTACAAACACCTGCTGACTTGACAAGCACAAGCTGGTATAGAAAACACATTTGAACTTGGTCACATTTCATTCTGCAAGTCCACGGCTGCAGGCAATAACATGCTACAAGGCAATGCACACTTGTTTTTACATCGTAAAAACCCATGTCTAGTTAGATACTGATTTAAGGCGCCACACCATTTGTCTTACTTTCCTTTTTAAGGCTTGACTTTTTTAATCTATTGTTTGACTATTGTAATGTCCTGATTAAAATAGTTTAGAAACATGCCCGAAACACCATCACAACACATAAAAAACCATTAATCAAACATAAGTGTAGTATTTTTTTGTCTGAGCGTCTGCGATTCAGCCGTAGGCCAGAAGTGGGTGAACCAGGCACTGAAGAACATGTATATATAGGCCAGGACTTCTGGCTTTCATTTGAGCGTGGGCTTCATGACTGACCGATCAGCATTAAACCTCCGTTCCCTCCAGTAACTGGTGTTGTATGGTCCTCTTCTCTTCACATTTTAATCTATTCAACATTTATGTGGTTTTGTCTCGATTTCAGTTAATGAACACTAAATTTTCTTACAAATCCATCCATCCATCCATCCATCATCTTCCTCTTGTTCCAGAGTTATGCCTCGAGTCAGCAGGTTGATCAGGGAGGTCCAGACCGAGGCGTTCCCAGGCCAAACGAGGCTAAACGAGGGACACGTCTCTCCAGCGTGTCCTGGGTCCTCCCTGGGATCTCCTCCCAGTTGAACATGTCTAAAGCTCCTACCTAGGGAGGCGTCCAGGAGGAGTCCTTAAAAGATTAACCACCTCAGCAGACTCCTCTGGATGTGGAGGAACAGCTCTACTCTGAGTCTCTCCTGGAGAACTGAACTTTTCTCAGCCTATCTCTAAGGGGGAGTCCAGCTACCCTGCAGAGACAACTCATTTAGACCTCCTGTGTCCACGATCACGTTTTTTAAAATGCTCTCCTTTCTTCTGTCAATCAACCCCAGAGGTAATCCACAGGCTGCATTCTGCTGATGTCAAAACCGTAAGCGTGCTGTCCTCGCTTATAGAACCACTGAAGAGGAGGTTCTGAAACAACGCGGTTGGAAATAGAGACACACTGGACCGAGCTGAACCACATAGCTGCTGCCAGGTGGAGAGTAGAGTCTGGTTGTCTCTCTGGTTTAAACCGTACACGGTTCTGTTCCTCCACAGAAAACTAGTGCTTGACAATTTTGCACTTTGCTTCAACTCAGTTTTTGATGAAAATAGAAATTACTGCTGACATCGCTTCTACTGCTTGCTACATTGTTAGCACTGCATGTTGTTGTCAGAGTTGTCAAGTAATGAAGTACAAATACTTTGTTACTTTACTTAAGTAGAAATTTTTGTTATTTATACTTTAGTGGAGTAATTATTTTTCTTTTACTTCTACTCCTTACATTTTAATTAAATTATCTGTACTTTCTTCTCCTTACTTTTTAAAAATGCAAAAAGTATTTCATTTCTATTTAACTTTGACTTGTTTTTATTCCATCTTTTCATTGTTCAGAAAAAATAAACAAACAGAAATCTCTCCAGATACATGGAGGCCATGGATAGAGTGAATTTGATTGTGGTTGGATAAGTGTAAATATCAACCATTCTGACATCCTATTGGATTGAACTCACTGCATCACACCTGTATGAGACAAATCTCATCACATACCAGCAGGACATACTGCAGCAGATGTAGTCTAGAATGAAGATGATTGTGGTTGAAACAACTAGTATAGTCAGTTAATTCCAAAATTTTCAACATTAACATTTTAATTTAACATTATACTCATTATTGACTTTAGGG